GACATTTTATTCTATTGTATTTTGTTATACTGATTTTTTTAAAGCTCAAATAATTGGGCCACAGATCTTTTTTAAACTGAATTTTGTGTGTGGTGTGTGAGGTAATTTGTTTTGCAATATCAAATGAAATTTTCATGCTCTATTTGCCTTCAGCCACAAACTGTCAGCTCCCACCCCCGCCCTCTACAGCAGCAGGAAAAGTCAGCCCAGATCTACATTGCCCACAAGTTTCTCACCTCTGTATGCTCCTTGGACGGCCTTCCAATTGCAGGCTCTTTTGCTCCCCTCACCATGGGCAAGTCTTAGGTGGAAGCTGGAGCACCGATGGCTTCTGGGGGTGTCCAGACTTGCGATCCCAAGACACCCGGCCCCCTGCTCTTATCCTCTCCTTTCAGGTCAGGTCTCAGATCCGGATTCTTTAAGGGCCAACTTTGCATTCTGGGCTAGTGAATGACAACTAGGGCACACCCTCTTCTCAACAGCCTGCACCTGATCCCCTTTTAAAGGGGAAATTACATTTCTCGTTAAGACTGAAAGAGGCTGCTGAACCTTGGAGAAGATTACTATGTTGTTCTCAGGACAGCTGGAGGAATTTCTGAAAGAGTAGGTATAGGTAAGGGGCAGAGGGAAGCTTTGCTCTTGTAAACATTTGCTCACAGCCATTGTTTAGAATTAGGGGGCAGGTTCATGCCCATCCTGTCAGCCACATCCTGCAGGGTGGCAGGCATGCTGTAGCCCCTGGTATAGGCCATGGTGCCCACCACCCTGGAGCTGTCTGTGCTGTACATGCAGCTGCCTTTGCTATGCCAGGAGTCACTGAGGGCCAGGTGTGAGCCGGTCTTGGGTCAACTCTGTGGGCCTCAATGTCCCTGCTTCTGTTCATTACTCCCATACAGACATCAACGTTCCTGACTTCCCTGATTACCGTTACACTGAGATTTTTGATGGGACAAAGTCTTCAAAAGAGGGTGGCGAGGCTAGGAAAGGGTTCTCCTGTTTGGTAATTGCAGCAGCTGCTGTGGGTGTCACATATGCTGCCAAGAATGTCATCTCCCAGCTTGTTTCCAGCGTCGATGCTTCTGCTGATGAGTTGGCCATGTCAAAAATTAAAATCAAGTTATCTGATATTCCAGAAGACAAGAACATGGTTTTCAAATGGAGAGGCAAACCCCTGTGTGTATGCCATAAAACCGAAAAGGAAATTGTCCGAGAAGCTGCAGTTGAAGAGTTCCAGTTGAGGGCCCACAGCATGATTTCAGGGCCAGGCGCCGTGGCTCACACCTGTAATCCCAGCACTTTAGGAGGCCGAGGTGGGTGGATCACTTGAGGTCAGGAGTTCGAGACCAGCCTAGCTAAGAGGGCGAAACACCATCTCTACTAAAAATACAAAAATTAGCTGGACATGGTGGCATGCGCTCATAATCCCACCTACGCAGGAGGCTGAGGCAGGAGAATCACTGGAACCCAGGAGGCGGAGGTTGCAGTGAGCCAAGGTTGCGCCATTGCACTCCAGCCTGGGAGACACCGCAAGACTCCGTCTCAGAAAATAAAAAACTAAATTAATTTTAAAAAGAAGTAAAGGATGAGTGCAATGCTTATCAGGATAACCCATTTGGGTTTCTTTACTCGGCCTTTGCTTTCATCCTCTTATGCACCCACAGCAAATGAAGATTTTGCTGGTGATTACTGCCCTTGCTGTGGGTCACACAGATGCATCTGGCAGGATCTGGAAGGGGCCTGCCCCTCTTGACCTTGAACCTCCCTCATATGAGTTCACCAGAGATGAAACAGTCATTGTGGGTTAGAGACTGCAACCCAAGTCAAAGCCTTCTTTCAGTCTTTGTGTCACCATAGAAGAGTTATTTGAGAGCAAGCCTTCTGAACTTCAAGTTGCTTGATTTGAAATATTTAAGAATTGATAATAATGTATTTGCAAACATTACTGTGAAGTAAATTGTAATTAATGTTGAATACTTTCAAGCGTTCACTTAATAAAACAACTGTTAAACATTGTTACGCTGTCATACACTTGAAAGGTACAATGTCTTTTAGGTAATTCTAATTTTTTACTTTAAAATTATTTATTTATTTATTTGTGTTTTTTTGAGACAGAACCTCGCTCTGTCTCCCAGGCTGGAGTGCAGTGGCGTGATCTCGGCTCACTGCAACCTCTGTCTCCCAGGTTCAAGTGATTCTCAGCCTCAGCGCCCTGAGTAGCTGGAATTACAGGCATGCACCACTATGCCCAGCTAACTTTCATAATTTTAGTAGACATGGGGTTTCACCATGTGGGCCAGGCTGGTCCCAAAATCCTGGCTTCAAGTGATTAACCCACCTCAGCCTCCCAAAGTGCTGGGATTACAGGCATGAGCCACCGTGCCTGGCCTAATTCTAATTTAAAACTACAGGATGGTATAAAAAAAAAAAAAAAAAAAGAATTAAGGGTCAAAGGCTGGTGATCCATTTAAGCACAGAGTTCTTGTTAGGTAGTTGTTGAAAAGGACAGTAATGAGCTGAGAGCCTGAAAACTGTCCAGTGACCACGGCAGCATGGGATTGGAGGATTTCTTATGCCACCACCTGCATCCTGTCTTATTCTTTTCTTCCAGTTCAACCGTCACTGACAGCATCTCCTCACACCCAGGGCTTTACAACCACCTTTTCTATAATCCAGAGAGGTGGAGATCATTATTTCCATTGGGAAAGAGGGGAACAACTCCTTTTCTTTCCTGAGAGCACCCATGATAAAGCATCGAAGTTGGAACTCAAACATGTACACCGTCTGACCTTAGCTATCATTCTGTTGCTCAACCTCATCAAGTTAATATTTACTGAGCATCTAATATGTGCCTTCCACTGTGCTGGACAAATCATGACACTGGCATGGAAGGTGACATGGAAGCTTCCTTTTAGGTTTGAGCGATGCCGCTTCCATGAGCACCAGACAGCTCTACTGCACACAGGGCACATGGGCACTTCAAAAGAGGGGCTCGTCAAAGCATAATTTTGAATTTAATCAGTTCTTCTGGAACTTTACGAACAGTGAAAATTTAGAACTGGCCAGGCACGGTGGCTCACACCTGTAATCCCAGCACTTTGGGAGGCTGAGGTGGGTGAATCACTTGAGGACAGGATTTCAAGACACAAGCCTTGCCAACATGGTGAAACCCCATCTCTACTAAAAGTACAAAAATTAGCCGTTCATGGTGGTGGTTGCCTGTAATCCCAGCTACTCAGGAGGCTGAGGCTGGAGAATTGCTTGAACCCAGGAGGTGGAGGTTGCAGTAAGCT